ACAATATATGAAACTACATGTAAAGACAGGACATGTGCAGTGTGGTCCACATCCTTAAAACCACAGGTATTAGACAGCATGTTGAACTATTTATCTAAAAGTGTTTTAAAAAACCCAACAACACAGATCTGTAATGTGTTTTGGCGCCCCCTGTGGACTAAGGTGGTAGTGAGTGTGAGAGTTAAAGATGGCCGTCGTCTCACCTTTCCGGTGACAGACCAGAGACTCAACGCTGGCGTGAAGTTTCCTCAGCTGAACGTCCAGATTCTCAAAATGCTGCTGCTTCTCCTCAAACCACTGAAACACACAGGACACTAGTTTTTAACTTCCTCCTCCCTTATCTATATCCTTTCTGTCTTCCTCCCCTCCTGCTTCCTTAGCTCATATTTCCTTTCCTCTTTCCTTCCCATCTTCTCTACAGTTATTTCCTATTCTCCTTCCTCCCCTGCTCCCTTTAGCCTTACTGTGACCTCCTTGTCTCCTCTTCCTCTCTTCTCCTACTGCACCTCCTCTTTCCTTCTTTCCCTCCACCCTTCATCCTTACTTCCTTCCATCCTGCTTCCTCATTTAATCTCAGATTTTTATTTCCTACTTCCTTTCTTTCCCTTTCCCCTTCCACATCTACATCCTCTCTTTCTTCCTCCCTAGTTCCTTATTTCCATTCTTTCCTCCTTCCTTAGTAGATGTTTCCTTTCTTCTTTCCTTCCCATCTTGTCCTCATCCTTAATTCCCTTTCTCCTCTTTCAATGGCCACCGTTTGCTACAACAACACTTTCAACTTTCCCTCCCTTCCTTCCTTCCTTTCCTCCAGCCTTCCTGAGCATCCTCTTCATCTTTCCTTTCCCCCCTCTTCCTTCCTCATCCACTCACAGCGTCCGACTCGTTCATCTTGATGGTCATCTTGTTGACGGCTTCGGCGGCCTTGTTGACCATTCGGAGGAGTCCGGCGCTGCTTAGAGCCTGAGTGCTAACTGCCCGCGGCAACTAGACAACAAACAAACAGCATCAGTGGTTAAACTCATTGATAAATTCATTTCTACAACAATACAACAACAAAGTCATGAGCAGGAGGCAACCTCCGGTTCTTTAAAGTCTTAAAGCTGCATTCTCTCTAGTGTCCACCAGGGGGCGACTCCTCTGGTTGTATAGAAGTCTATGAGAAAATGACTCTACTTCTCTCTTGATTTATTACCTCAGTAAACATTGTAAACATGAGTTTATGGTCTCAATCTCTAGTTTCAAGTCTTCTTCAATACAGCATGATGTTCATTTAGTACATTATGGTCCATTTAGAGTCACACAGACCATAAAGCAGGGGATGCTTTAGGGCGGGGCTACACAGTGATTGACAGGTCTCTGCCAGAGACTGTCTCTAACGTCCAGGTACAAAGGTTCAGGTATCTCAAAGACATCTCAAGACATAAGAATTGTCTATTTATCAATTCATCATTAAAAGAACACCCTCATATTTTCTGTTATACATTTTTTGTGGGATTAAGTTGTACTGTTCTTGCATATTTGAAAACGTTAAAATAAAATAAAAGAAAGTCTGGTTTTCATTCCATTATTATTATTACTCTAAATTTAATTTGGCTGCTCTTTAAAACCACTTTTAAGTTACCATCAATAGAAATAAACACTTCCTGTGCTGATATTTCACAATAAAAGTCGAGTATATCATAGTGAAATAATGTGAGCCATTAATTACATGTATTCATATTTTCTACCTGGACTTTATTGGTTTGTTCTCATCATTTAAGGTTTAAAACATCGTCTCTTCTCTTCCTGCTTCATCCTTTACATTTATATTTGTCTTTCTTCCTCTGGGTTATTTTCTCCCTTTAATTCTCTCACTTCTTTCTCTCCGTTCGCCTCATTTCAAACCTCCCCCGCTGCCATTTCATCCATTTGCTGTACTTACCTGTTGATTTTTCACTTTGTTTAGCCGGCTCTTTCTCCTCTCCCTCCCATCTCTCTGAACTCTATCACAGCTGTGGTCTCCTCCCCCCTTCTGATTGGGATGTCTCCCACATTTTAGCTCCAATCTGATTTAATGTGTCGAGCAACTTTAACCATCGTATAAAGAACAAAAACAAGCTGAAAACGAGGGACGTCCATCTGAAAATAGGCTCATTTTTCTTCATTTTGGAAAAGTTTACTTTTCTCCCGGACATCGGCTTCAGGGTCCCTCCTCCCCTCCTCTCCCTTCCTCCCCCCTTCTCCAATCTCATTTACCGGGGCGGCTTGGGTCCCCGGGGCCCCTCGCTGACGGGGGGTGGGGGGGTTGTGTTTCATTAAGCGAGGCCGGACGGACCGACACGCTCAGTCAAGCGTCCAAGTGATTCATCTGTTAAATCGGTGACACCGGGCCATTTATTGTGGACCCAACGCAATCCCACAAACGCTAGAGAGGGGTGATGAAGAGGAGGGGGGGGCAGTGTTTACAGGGGGTTTAGTTGGAGTGGACAATAAAGCGAGGAAACAGGAAACGCCGCGAGCCCTTAAACCCAGAGGCAGTTTTTAAAGAGGCTTCGTAGCGTCGACCTTCGCTGCTCGAAGCGAAGAAAAAGTCAGAGAGAGGTTTTGTGCAGAAGCATCGTCTCTGTCTTTTGGATCAGAGTGAGACATCTCTGCTGGTTTAGATCACGTCACAGAGGACCATTCGTGGTCCCCAGAGGATGAACGCCCACGACCTCCTGACCCCTCCACTGGTGTCAAAGTAACTAAGTACTTCTAAAGCTTTTAAAGAGACGAGGAGCAGAGAGGGTTTGTTGTGACGCATGTAAACAGCTGATCAGATGCGTTCAGGTTCTTCAGGTAAAATGCAGTTTTTTCTTTTACCTCCGAGCTCTCCAGAAACTGCAGCACGTCGGGATCCTTCAGCAGGATGGGATGCTTCACCGTCCTCATCAGATACCTGCAGGAGACACAGGATTCATTAAGTTAGACCCTTGTTCTGCTGGTTGGTGTCACAACGTCAACATCCTTCATATCTAGAGGTTCTCAGCTGTTTGTGACCTCAGTGGCAGAAACTATAAGTGAAGTGTAGTTTTAAATGTTGCTAAAACATCTGCATCCCTCAACTTATAGTCCTATAATAATAATAATAATAATAATAATAATAATACTTTATATATAAAGCACCTTTCCAAAAAAAGGTTTACAAATGTTACAATTGAGGATCTATGTTTCCAAAATACCAAACATTCATAAAAAAATGAAAGTTAAGAATTTTAAGTGTGTGTGTGTGTGTGTGTGTCCATCAGTGTGGAGTTCTGCAGCTCTGAGCTCCATCAGATGTCACTGGCTGACCTTCCTGTCAATCAAACACCTTCAGTAAAGGCCAGCGGAATGCCAGCCCCGCCCACCTCCTCGGTATTTAACACGCACACGTGTGTACACACACACACACACGTACATGAACATGTGTGTTGTGATAATGATGTATCTAATATTTGTGGTTTAACCTTTCGGCCTGTAAAGTTCTGACCAGGTTGATCTTTACCACAACGCGCACGCGCACACACACACACACACTTTTTTTATCCAAGTTATTTTCTTTCCCTCGTGTTTGTAATAAGTGTTCTTTTAAAAAACACCATATTGTCGGATTTTCATCTTCCCGATGGTCCTTGAACACATCATGTGTGACAGACACTTCTGCCAGGAAGTGTCATATTGTGACATTTAGTCAGAAACTTTACATTCTTCATGTTCTCATTATGAATCTCTCCTCTAATAAAGAGTTCACTTTAACCAGATTGTGTAAAAACATTAAATTGTGAAACTATGAAGTCATGACTGATTCATCTGAGACCAACAGTCATGTGACAACAAGGAGGAGACACTCCTTGTTGTAAAGATTTAAATATTTATATATCATTTTCTTTTAACCAACATTGGGACCTTTTTTATGATTTCCTGAGAGGGAGGAGGTGGATCTAAAATAACTAACGGATTGATTATTTTAATATTCATTTTGTTCGTGCTGACCATCATCTTTAAAACCGTACCTCTCCAGAGCCGACCTCCTCTTCTCCACAAACCCGTTGGACGACTGGTCCTCCTTCCCCACCTTCACCTTGGTCATCCCTGCAGACGAGCAGACGCTCATTAACATATAACCGGTTAACAAACAGCTAATTATGCATCACGTTCACGTTAAAACAGCTTGATAGTGTCAGTCACACGTCTTTTATTTTGTAGGAAGTGTCTTTACTAACAGACGTTCTTTAGTTTAGTAGACGGAGAAGTAAACTCTGTTTCAAAGAGACAAAGACCCTCTGAGACACAGAAGAAGATTTCAGCAGGGAGCTTAGATTTAAACAGGAACAGCTTCCTGTTTCAGAGTTTCACAATAAAAGCAGCCTAGAACAAGCTGGAGTTAACTTTATCACGATAGAAACAGAAGGTTAGTCTGGAGGTACTGTTGGAACATCAGCTGAACTAACCTCAGGTTAAACTTAATCAATATTTACTGATCAATAATCAAACTCATTCTACATGTTATGATCATGTTCATCAGGATTCTCACGTCATGTGACACAAACTGTTCACATTCAAATTAAACATTTGTTGTCCGAGGAAAAAGATAAATATAACAGCTGAATATAAACTTCTCAGCAGCAGCGTACGTTGTTATATTCATTAATATGTACTGTTGTTTATATTGATATTTACTGTTTGTTTAGTATTACTGAAGTTAACTAAAGTCTGTTTTATTTGTGACCCTCTGAAAGTACCGAAACGACCCAAACAGACTCCCTAAACCTCTGATAACTGTTTGGACAACAGTTATCAGTCGTTGGGGAGTTCAGCTCGTGTGTGCAGCGGTGGCTTTGCTTACCCACAATGCTTTTCTCCGGCGCGGGGGGGGACGATGTAGCCTATGTGAAGATACTTGGAGGCCAGCTTGCTGTGCAGACCCAGAAAATCACTGAAACGCCTTTTTACTGAAAACTCACGACTCTTAAACAGAGACATGGAGGTCTGGATGAGAGAGGACCAGAGACAAAAGAGAGACATTAAGAGACGTTAAGAGACATAATGAAGAGACAAAGAGACATAATGAAGAGACAAAGAGGCGTAAAGAGACAAAGAGAGACATTAAGAGACGTAAAGAGACATAATGAAGAGACAAAGAGGCGTAAAGAGACAAAGAGAGACATTAAGAGACGTAAAGAGACATAATGAAGAGACAAAGAGGCGTAAAGAGAGACATGAAGAGACATTAAGAGACGTAAAGAGACATAATGAAGAGACAAAGAGACATAAAGAGACAAAGAGAGACATTAAGAGATGTAAAGAGACATAATGAAGAGACAAAGAGGTGTAAAGAGACAGAGGACAGTGAATAAACTGAGATCCTGCAGCAGCTGTTTAGTTCTCAAATGTTCAACAGTAGAAGACATGGTGGATGACAGAACTGGTTAAACACAATAAATAGGATGCCCCTTCTACTCCTGTTGTTTCTGTTGGTTTAGCTTCAGTAGTTGTTTATTTATTAGCTCAAATAACACCACAGTGCATTAAAGAGTACAACAAAATAAATAGTGCTGGTGAGATAAATTATAAACACATCTCACCATATACTTTGATATATTCAATGCTAACATTAGCCATGCTAACATACTGTAATACTGTAAGTTATTCAGCTCAGAGGAAAGCTGAGTCTCACAGAGTCCACTTCAGACTGATACAGGTTGAGTGTGACAGTCACTGAGATGTCCCATCATGGCCACCGTACAGAGGACTTAGCTCAACGTTATTTTATCTGGTCTAAGAACAGAAGAGGTGTTCAACAGTTCTGTTTCCTCACCTTGATCGACACTTTGTAGGCCATGTAGGCGTTCATCCCGTCACCTGAACACACACAAAGCAGCTTTCAGCACACACACGCGCGCGCGCACACACACACACACACACACACACACACACACACACACACACACAC